TTTAATTGGAAGACTCTGATGTGTTTGTGCACTACTGCATGATGATCCCCCAGTGTGCCTCTCACTTTATTTTCTGGTTTCTGATCCTTCTGTCACTGCCCTATCTGTGCTGACAGATATTGTGCTATGATAAAAACACAAAATAAACAGTAAAAATTCAAGGCAATGAGGGCCGGGGATTTAGCTCAGTGGTTTTGCCGCCTGCTGCGCAAGCGCAAGGACCCGAGTTCGATCCCCGGTACCAAAAAAAAAAATCAAGGCAATGGTTTCATCATCTTCATAGTGATGATCTTCGCCCCCTTCGTAGTGCTTTGTAGGTAGTAGGCATTCAATAAATATTAGGATAGTTAAGCAATAGTGGTTAAATAAATGAATGTCATTTCACATGGATTCAAATCACCTATATAGAGAGAAATATAGAGTGAAAAACTATTTTAAACTATTGTTGAAGATGCTCTTGAGCTCCTGGCTGCTGTACTGTGTCCTTCAGTAATGGTTGTATGGCTGAGCTATGAGTATCTGAAGACCCATGGGGAGGAAACTGAGATTCTTCTGCCAGCCAGATTATCACAGAGTATTTCCCAGAGGTGGTAACAGCTTGAGACTCAGATTCCCTGCCCTCCCCCTTGACTTTTCCAGGCCAAGAAAAATTTGTATCCTGCCTGTCTTTGGGGCAATGTTGCAGGTCTTCAAATCCGCAAAGGCTATGTCAGGGTTGTGGGGTACCCAGCAAGGGAGAGGAGGCATCCGTCACAACGATGCCAGCTGAGCTCAGTGTCGTTTGCAGCCAGTACCCCAGGACGTCTGATACCACCACAGTCCTTCCTTCCCCGCTTCCTGTGCATTCCACCATCCACCCCTGGAAGCTTCCCGGCTCAGACACTGTCTGCTGGCTTTGGAAGGTACCGGCTCAGGATGAAATCTGTCACAGGGGTGGGCAACTTTGCCAAGGGAATGTAGAGGAGTTTGGCATCCAGGCCAGGGTTGTAGCGGATACGAGGAGTCCGGGAAACAATGGCGTGCTCCATACTATTGATGACATCGGTGATTCTCGGCTCTGCCAGTTCCAACATGTTGCTCAGCTTGTAAGTATCTGTTGGGAGAGGGGTAATGAAAGGCTCTGTTATGCTTTATAAAGGATTGTTTCTTCCAAATCCCATCCAAGTTAACATTTCAGAACAAAAAAAGGAGGCAGAGTGAATGATGGGGGAGTGGGGACAGGACAGAAAATGTGTCTGTATGTGTAGAAAAATGGGAAGTAAGGAAGTAAAAATATTATCTGAGAATTCCTAGCTACTAAAGGCTTTTTATTTTGTGTGTGTATTTCTTCTATTTCTCACATTTTTCTACAAAAGCATGTAGGAAAAACATGTTATTTTTTTTAAAAAGTAGTTATCCTGCTCCTGCCTTGGTCCTAAGTCCATTGTGGATGCCGATGACCAAGGCATAGACAGGCCCCTTGAAGGGTTCTCCTGTCCATGAGGTGCCCCCAGGAATGGGGAAGGGAAAGGCCACGTGATGCCCGACGAGGCCCCTCCTTGGGACACTGGGACAGAGATAGACTAGGGAAAGGGGGGCTCAGATTTCAGTGAGAGCCCCAAGGACTCCAAAGGAACTGGAGCCTGAGAGTCAGACTTCCCTACATGGGATTAAAATTGGAAATCAAAAGCTGCCCCAACTTTGGGATAGGCCAGGTAGGCAGGGTCAAGACTCTTGTAAGTGACTGGTGAAGACAGGCCAGTGTCACTCAAGTGCCCTTCATCCAGACTTGGAAGAACTAACTTAACTCCCTTGCTGTTTCCTGGAGAGAACACTGCTGAAGTGAAAAGCCAACCAAAATTTTGGTGTCACTCCGAAAGCCACGGTCAATTAAAGGCAGACTGTCTATAAAACATACAGGAAACCTCTGACCTTAGACTTGTCACAGAGTCCACCACCAGTAAGGCTGGGGCAGGAAGGCAAGTGTGAAGGACCCACTCAGGTTCTCAGGGCTCTGCACTCACTCAAGAGTGGGGAGACCTTCGAGACTGAAGATCTGAAGGCAAGCAGACCTGAGGAGATGTTTGGGACAGTGTCCCCTGAAGCACGAGGAGGTCCCACACAGGCAGTGGGGTGGAAAGTACCCAATCACGGGAGGTGGTATGAGGCACATTCTTTCATTGTTCTTGCAAATATTTCTATCAGCTTCCATTTTGTGTAAGCACTCACTAGTGGGAAAGGAAATAGAAGTTTCCATCTAGTCCTTGTCACTGTCCTTGGCAATAAGGAAGAACATGGACTTTGGATTTGGACACTTAGGAAAATGTTTCTGTTCTTGAGAGAATTAAGCAAGACAAGTGTCAAGTATTAAGGTTAAGACTTTGGCTCTTTGAACGGCTCCAACAGCTAAGTTTTTATCCCTTTCTCCTTTGCCAGGGACAAGGCTGCAGGTGTTAGGCACACTATCCCCAAGAAGTGGGGGCAGAGGGTCTAAAAGGGGAATTTTGGATGAAAAAAGAAACTGAACCAGGATCCATGCTCCTCCTCCAGCCAGTGGCACAGGTTCAGCTCTATCAGGCCCAGGACGTCATTCACTGTTGCCCGTCCCCTGATTCTGAGCTCCACTTCTTTGGGAAGGTGCCTATGTCAGTTGTTATTAAGGAGCCATTTCCAATATGGTTCCATTCTGGACATAGTTAAAAATGAACCCAAGAAAGCTGGCCCTTGGTCCTGGGGTTGACAAGCCAGAGGCATGGTTGATCTGTCCCACAGCAACTGGCTAGAGGTTATGTCACAACCACTCCAATACTGTTCAGTCTGTCTGCAGCATCTCCCCCACTTCCCACAAGCACCATGACTTTTTACTGCTGTCTTCAATCTCCGTGACTTTCTGAGTAATCTCCCAGTTGGCTTCTCTTTCCTTCCCAGTACACACAAATGTGACCAGGAATTTCAGAACTACTTAAAAGGCCCAGTAACTGAGGATAAGATCCATGCTCCTCAGTGCAGCTGCTGCAGCCTTTTATGCCCCATCTCTACTCTCTCTGCCCTCAGTCCCCTTCACACTTTTTTCATGCCCAAGGTTTGTTTCATTCATTATGCAACTAATTGGACTACTTTCCATTTTTGTCCAGTTCTCCTAACAATCCATGAAAGAAGAATTATTATACTTTGTAAGTGAATAAGCCAAAGTTTAGAGAGTTGTGTCACGTGATTATAGGGACTGCTGGAATCTGAACCCAGAATCCATATTACCTCCAAAGCACTCAATCCTATGTTGGTCTCCAAATGTAGCCGTGCTCCTCCTTTTGTGTGAAACATCTACCATCGATCCCTTTTGGTGAACTCCTATTCATCCTTCAAAACTCATTAAGGCATTCATTATCACCTCTGTGAGGCTTTTGACAGCAGAATTAAGTTTCTCTACTGTTTACTGTTGCTTTGCTTTGGACACTTGTGCCTTATTGCACAACTCTTGCATGATACTGTATTTGCTTTTACATCTACCCTTTCTTTGTCTCATTCCTGCATCCCACTAGGTGCCTTATGGAAAGTAGAGTGCAACTACCTGGGGAAACATTTATTTAAAGGTAGTTGCCATCTGTCTGAAAAAGTTCCTCTGAAATCATGGTGTACACTGTAGAGGAACCAGACTATACAGTATTTTATAAGCAGAATCCTTACTATTATTCAGGATAACAATACCTGCTTTTTGACAAGTGATTTCCAGAGGAAGTTGGCCTTTGTGCAGATTTGTTTGTAGGCTGCTTTGGAGACTCTACAATCTCTGCCTGCATTGAGTACTTACTTAGGCAATGGCCTTGTAAAGTTTCCAGACACTGGTTGGAACTGCATTTCATTCTAGCCTCATAAATAATTTGGACCATTCTTTGCTAAGTAAGTTTTAGGACAGTGGTGGCAAACCTATGGCTCACATGCCACAGCGGACTGTTTGTATCATCAACAGCTCTAAAAGGATTCCATCACTGTTTTAGAGGGATCACACAGAGGATTTGTATTACACCCCCCATCCCCCACCCCTGCCCACCATCTTTTTCCCAACAGCTGCAGACTTCCCTTTGGAGACGCATACCTCCTCCATCCAAATCTTCAGTCTAGGCAGAGCGTATTACCCAGCCTAAGCCAATCAGACCTTCACACCCCCATGGGCACAGAGACTGGCTTAGGGTTGGACACATCCTGTAGTTTACTCTGGTCCAGCCACCACAGGCCCTCTAGGTGAGAATGAATTTTAGAACTTTCAGGAGAACTATTGGAAAGAACTCTCCCCTTTTCTCAGTAGACTTCACTCAGGAGGAAGTGAGGAGAGGCACTCAGGGAGAGATGAGGTCCCCACAAGGAAGAGTTTGTGAGACTAGAGTCAATACTACACAAGCAAAGTCAAGAAACAGGGTGAAACCAGTTCCTAACTGTATCTTTTAAGGCTGGATCAGGCTGTGCTTAAAGTTCATTTTGCTCAACCTTTTAGTCACATGAGTCATATTTATTTTCTGCTTAAATAATTTATGTTAGATTTTCTGTTATTTGTAACTAAGAAAATTCTAACTGTTGTAATTCTGTGGAACTTTTTTTCTGTCACAGAATTTCAATGTCCAGAGCTAAAAGATTACTTTCTTTAAGGAACAATTCTCTGAATATCTTTTCCCTGAGTCTTCCCTAAATCAGTGAATAAATATACCTCCATCCACCAGGTTCCTCTTCATAAACCTCACACCCATTCTTAATGGTTTCCTCTCCACCCACAGTGGCAGCTTACTCAATACATTGGCATCCAGCTTCTTTCCAACTCTGTCTCCTGTCTACTCCAAACCACCATCATGTCTACCCTGGAAGCCTGAGCAACCAGAAATCTGTGATTTCCCAATCACAGATCAGATCACATTCTTGATCCTCAGTGTGCCCTGATGCTTATTTATACCGTGCCTCACCCCTCAGCCACACCTCACTGCTTCCCATCTGCAGGTTTCTTTAAAGTTTCCCCAAAGGATTGTCTTAGCTCAGAGCCCTGCTGCAAAAATCTCCCTGCTCAACCTTCCTTTCCACTTTCCAGCAATGTCTAACCCTTATTCTTCCTCAAAGTAAACCCGAAGAAGGCTCTCCTGTGCCATAATCTGCACTGGGCCCCAAATTCCCACTGCTGTTCTTCTTTCATAACTTTGTTTCTCCTCTTTGTGCCACTTAATCACATTTAAGATTAAGTGTATGTATTTGTTAACATTTGTCTTCTCTATGGAGTCTAAAACTACAGGCAGCAGGGGGCAAACCCACCTCTTTGCCCACACCAACTCCCCAGCCCCACACAAAGCCTGTGCAGTGAAAGGTACATTAAGTGAAAAAATAGCTTTCTGGTTTTTGTGTCTTGGCTTTTAATTCTGTCGATGTATGATGTTGAAACAGCATGTCACTAAAACCCCCGCCAGATAGTAGCAGACCTACCACAGATTTGACTAAGTCATCGCATTTAGTCCGTTGCTACAGTTTGGATCTGGAATGTCCCCCAAAGGCCTTTGTGTCAAAGGTTTGTTCTATTGCCTGGCATTACTGGAAGGTAGTGGCACTTTAGGATGTAGGGCCTAATGAGAGATCTTTAGGCCAAGTGAGGGTGTACCGTTGAAGGGAACTGTGGGGCCCAGCTCCCTTCCTCTTTCTCTCTTTTGCTTCTAGGCCACAAGGTAAGCAGTTCTGCTCTGCCACACAATCCTGCCATGATGTGCAGCCACCACCCAAAGCAATTGATCATGGACTGAAATCTCTAAAACTGTGAGCCAAGAACACCTTTTCTCTTTATAAGTTGATTATCTTCAGCATTTGTTATAGTAATAGAAAGCTGATTAACACATCCATCCAGAAATTCTGAGTATATTTCAAAAATTCATCACTTTGGATTTTTTGGTTTTTTGTTTGTTTGTCTGATTGTTTTTGTACTGGAGAACTCAGGACCTTGCACTTGCAAGGCAGGTTCAGTGTCACTGAGCTAAATCCCTGGCCCATCACTTTAGATTTTTAATATAAGAACTTATAGCTTGTAGATATTGTATCAGCATAATGGAGAGTAAGAGGCCATACCAGTCTAAGAAATGATAATAACAACAACCACAAACTTAAATTGTTCTCACCAGGGACCAGGTGCTACACTATACCTAGAGTATAGGTATGCTATACTATGCTATGCTATGCTATGCTATGCTATACTATACTGTACTATACTATACTATACTATACTATACTATACTATACTATACTATACTTAGTGACTTTATTTTCATTTAACTCATTGCAGATGAGAACACTGAGAGGTTGAGGAACCTGCCCAAGGCCAGCATGCAAGCTGAAATCTCCACCAGCAGAGTAGTTCTAACTCTAAGAGCTAAACCACTACAGAAAATCGCCTCTCTGGAATGTTCACAGCAGCCATGTAAAAGAGAAAAAGAAATGTTAAGGAGAAAAATAAAGGTTAGGGAAATGTAGGAGCAGGCAGCTGAGGCCCAGAGGGAGCAAGAGCAGGACCAATGGCAGCTGCTTCACTCTGGACCAAGGAAACATCCTAATCAGCACAGTGCCAGCCCCTCTTTTTTCCTCAGAAAGGCTGCTGGAGAAGACTGGCCCCTGTCAAGGAGGTTATCAGCTAACTGTGTCAGGGCCAGTTTCTGTTGACAGAAGTTACCCACACAAAGGTGACCACAGAAGTTGTGCTAGGCTAGGGGCTTCCTCCTATCTGGCTCTGGGAGCTATGAAATGCAGAGACCGACAATTTCTTGTGTCTCCTCTCCTCTTAAAACCAGCTGAGCTTCGAGATTAGATGCTCTAAGTGAACACGGGGCTCTCTGGTCTCACAGCCTTTCCATCTCCTGCCGGGAAATGCTCCAACATCTGACACAATTCCTCTTTTACTGCCTCTAAGGCCGGGCTCTCTCATCCTCTCCTGTGGGCAAGCTCCATCCATCCCCAAACTGGGAAGTTTTGACATCATGGTCAACATCTAAGATGTCCCTTTGTCACTCTCCAAAGCACCAAAGGTTCAGAGGGGACATTTAGCTCAGAGAGAAGGGAGTCACCAAGGGACCCATCCTTGTAAAGACCCAGGTATTTAATTTCCTCCTTATTTAACAAGCACTAAGTGCAAGATAATTCACACATATTAATTCTCATAGCAACTCTTTTAAGTAGGCACTTTTATTAGTTCCATTTTACAGAGGAGAAAACTGAGGCTTGAGGAGACTACTGAAAACGTCCAAAGTCTCCTAGCTGGTAAGTGTAAGAGTTGGTACTTGAACTGTGGCAGTCAGCTTCAGCAGCTCTGCTCTTATTCACTTCTCTGTGCTCATCTCAATGCATTTTCACCTGACTCACCTGCATATTGATGTTTAGGGCCAGGTACCAGGTATAGCAGTATCTCTACTGGTTAGAACCAGCAGGCATGGTTCTAACACTGAAACCCCAGCCCTGCCACTAGCTGTATGGCCTTAGACCCCGAGTCCCATCATCTATAAACCAAAAGCCAGTCAGAGACTCCAAGATCTACCTGCCCCCATCCAAGACCTCGCACCCTGGTACTTACAGATGCGGAAGTACTCCTCTCCATAGCTGTCTCGTGTCTCCTGAGGCAGTCTCTCCCACATCTTCCTCAGTTTCTTATTGATGCCCTCCTTGCCCAGAATGGATGTCTTGTAGTTCCCCGGCTCAATGATGCTGACTTTCACCCCAAAGTAGTGCATCTCACGCCTGGGAAAATAGAATTTCACTCTGGTGAAGGCCTCAAGATGACAGTCATCAAGGAGAGTTACTTCTGGAGGGAACTGCCTCTCCAGGAACCTGGAGGCACACACCTCCACCCCTGGCAGCTGGCCCAGGCATTGCCTTTATGCAGTTCTTCCCAAGGACCTCAGTCCTTTCCCAAGCTCATCTGGTAATCTCTGGACAATTTGCATTTAGACAAATGCAGCAGGAAATCAGTGCAGAATCTAGGCCAAGACCTTCCTCCCACCAGGTGCCTCCTACTCTCAGCCCCACACCCTGCACCCATACAACAGAAGGAGTGATGAGATCTGCACAAAGCCTACTAGTATCCTCCTCTGAGGGTCTCCCAGGTCCATCTTTGGCTCCAGACCTCTGTATCTGTTTAGGGGACTCTTTCTCACTCCTACAGGCCCAAACAGTCCTTCCTCCATTCTGGAACTTCTCAAGGAAGTCCCACCTCCTGTCCTCTATCTCCAACCCACCTCTTCTCCACATTCTTTCTTCTCCTGGTAGTTGGGAAAGGCTCACTAAGATTCAGCCTTCCTCCTGCTGCTGTTTTAGCCTTCTTGCTCCAGAATGCCCTGGCCCACATGCTAGGAAGCCAGCTCTCTAAGTTAAAACTCACTGGATCCCCACCTAGAACAGTTTGGTCCCAGGGCCCACTCACCTGATACTGTCAGAGAAGGCCTCAATGCCAAACTTGGAGACACAGTAGCCACCACCAATGAGAGCCACACGACCACCAGAGCTAGACATATTGACCACCCTGCCTCGGGCTTTCTTGACCATAGGCAGCATGTGGAGGGTTACGTCGATTGTTCCCACCAGGTTCACGTTGATCACCTTTACAAAATCCTCCTTTGTCAGCCATTCATTGGGACCACTGGGAAGACCCACACCAGCATTGTTTACCAGGGCCCAGAGGCCTGGGGATGAGATGGAGGGAGAGAGAAACACACAGGAATCAGCAGTGTCTCTGGGAAAACACCACGGACAATTAGCTACCAGCCCAGGGTCACGGAGGATAGCTGAGCTAGTATGCAAGACACAAGATGGCATTGTTTGGGTGAGGCAGCTATGACAACATGGTATGCCTTTTACTGATATCCTTTTCATAACAATGAATTAGTGTTTAATTCCTTCACCGATCATGTTTCCTCTTTTCTATTCACTTAAGTATAAGAAACCAGCTCCATTTCACCTGTCAACAAAGTCAATTCCTTTATTTATTTATCCTTTCACATTCATTCGTGCACCTACTCTTTACCAATTACAGGGCAAAGGAGATATAAAATGAACAAGAAAGGTCTTATTCTCCGAGGAGCTCACAGACAAAATAAAATATTATTTATAAATAAATATATAAGACATTTAAATAAAACACTTATGGGAAAATATGATAAAGGCTCTCCTATTGGGTTGGATTGATAGAGATGGGGAGCAATAATGCTAAGTATGATCATTCACATCTGTAGGAACTCAAGAGCCCCAAGTTCTAGGCCTAGCTCTATCTCCAGCCTCAGACAGGTCGCTTTCCTCTCTAGGTCTCAAGTTCTTCATCAGACTGATCTAGAGCAATTGTTTCTGGCTCGTTTCTCCTGCTAGGGAAGGAGCTGCAGGAGAAGCATTTCTTTCATTTGTTTTACATATTGAGCTTCCAAGTACAATTTCCCTGGAGAAGGATAACCCTCAGTGCCTTCTTGTAGTTCTTTCATCCAAGGATCCCATGAGTCTCACCCCTGGCTCCTTCCCTTCCCCATTCCCATCTAATTCCCCATCTTGACCAACACAGCCTCAAGATACCCTGCCTGGCACAGTCACTTCTCTTCTGGTGGCAGGTCTGGATGCAAACTGTAATTCTGGTCCACCTATCCCCTGGCATCCCTGCCAAGCCAGGCCCCCTGTCTTCCTGCCTTCATCCAATTAGAGAGACTCTGGGAGACCAGCTGGCTGATAGGGCTTAGAACCTTCCAGCTAGGGAGACATTCTTGCCTTACAGAGGAGAAAAATGAGGCTCCTGAGACCCAAAGATCACAAAACTCCAGCAGTCTCTGCCTTTGGGGAAGGGACACACACCACCACTACCTCTGATCATCCTGGTAAAGGGCTCCAGCAGAGGATGCACTACCTGCTGGGGAAGAAAGACAACTTTTCTATTCTTTTTTCCCCCTGCAAAGAGTAACCAGGGAATAGTGAGAGCGGGCCTAACAGTTTTAGAGCTGTGCCAGCCTCATGTCCAGGGACTCTTAGGGGCAACAAGAAAGTATGCACTGTCTACCCTCTCCCCAGCTACAATTTCCAGTGCTTCTTAGATCAAAGATGTTGCCCAGTGGCACAAGCACAATAAAGGTCCCCCAAATATGTCACCATCCTAGTTCCTGGAACCTGTAAATATGTTAGGTTACATGAAAAAAAGGAATTAAAGTTTCAGATGGAATTAACATTGATCATCGGCAGACCTTAAAATGGGGAGATTATCCAGAATTCATGTGCCCAATATAATTACAAAGCTTCTTCTAAGAGGAAGAAGGCAGAAACTAGAGAACCAAAGAGATGGAAAGAGTGTAAAGAAGACGCAGCCCAACCTTGCTAGTCTTGAACGTGGAAAAAGTGGGCCATGAACCAAGAAATGCTGGTGGCCTCCATAAGATAAAGCAAGGAAACAGACTCTTTCTGGGGACCCCAGAAAAAAACAGCCCAGTGGAGACCTTCATATTAGCCTAGTGAGGCTCATCTTGGACTTTTCCCCTCAAGAATTACAAGATAATAAAGGTGTATTGTTTACCATATTTGAGTATATTTGTTACAGCAGCAATGGAAGACTAATACAGTATATTGCATGAGTCATGAACTCCATTGGCTTCAAGTTGAACGTAGGGGAGGGGTTGAAGCAGCCTGGTGGAGAGAGAGGCTCAGCCTTGCTGCATTATTCATTCATTAATTTTTCAACAAATATTTGTTAAGCACTCTCCTAGGTACCAGATACTATTCTAGGTACTGAGGACATGGAAAAAATAAAAGAGACAAAAAAACCACAAAACCAACCTGTTCCCAGGAAGCTTTATTCCAGCAGCGCAACAAACAATAAATAAGTAAAAAGCATTGTGTACTTTATAGGGATAAATGCGAAGGATAAAAGTAAAATAAGGAGCTTGTATCTGGCTCCTCCTGGGCCCCAGAGCTCATTACTCTCTCTTGGGCAGAGCCCTAGCCTCATTTCTTTGGAAATGAGGACTTGCCAGGGTACTGCTGCTTCTACAACCATGCTATCCTATCCCTCTTGATCCCTCTCCTATACCCTGCCTGCTTCAAGTTCTCTGGGCAAGTCTTCATACGCTCTTGGTCCAGCCCCAAGCCCACAGCCTCCTTTCCCAATGGGACCAGCAACTCTCAAGTAGCCCCCAACTTCCAAGAGATCTGCCTCTCCATTGTGTCACACAGTCAAGGACAGCAAATGCCCCACTCATGGAAACCAACCTCCTGTCCCCTTGCTCTGCCCTAGCACGTCTATAGGATGGATGGTAGGACTACTGAAGTCTCTGAGAGGCACCTCCACCCTTCAAAGTCTGGACATACAGAACACATCTTCCCTTCCTTACCTCTTGTGCTCTGTCACTCTCAGTTTCTGGGAGAGAAACTCCTTGGAAAACCACCATGAACAGGCCAAGGCCAAACCATGCAGTAGGTTGCAATCCAGCTGAGCCAGCACCCTTCAGCCCTGTTCCTTTCATCACCTCTCCCACCTATTTGGACAGCAGGGTCCCTGAGACTGTTAGATGCTGAGAGTAAGAAAATTGTGAAAGCCAAAGAATGTAGTTTGCCCTACCTTGCTCGCCCACTTGGTCCCTCACCCACTGGGCCGCAGCCTTGACACTCTCAGTCTTGGTGATATCCAGTAGGGTGGTCTGCAGCTGGTAGGAGGTATCTTGCTGAAGTTTCTGAGCACCTTCCTCAGTAAGGCAAGCAGCCAGCACCCTCAAACCCCGTTCAACCAGTTGTCTGGCCAGCATATTCCCAAAGCCAGAGTCACAGCCAGTGATGAAGACATATTTCTCCGAAAGGTTGTGAACCAGATTGCAGTTCTTAAACCAGCGGTACATAAAACCTAAGTCTGTGATTGCCGCCATTGGGCAGTGGGGCCCAAGAAGGACAAGGCTCAGGAAACAGCAGGAGAAGCTGGTCTTCAGAGCCCAGCTGGCAGTCCACTGGAACACACAGGGAAGGAGAACTTCCACTTCTTGCCACAGATTCAGGGCCCTTGGGTGAGCCACCCTATAATTTTTATAGGTGGAAGCATCACACCAACGAACCTAGTTGCAAGAAATTCAAGTCCAACCTGAAGATTTGTCACCTCTTCAAGCCCTGAGAGCCTCCCTCTCTCCCTCTGCCCTGATGGGTACTGGTGCCAAAAATGGGAAGGCCCCAGTGGCAGTGTGGGGACCAGGAGCCATCTCACCCAGGTAGTATAGACAGGATAAATGAGAAAGGGCTCAACCTAGACAGCTCCCCTGGGAGAAACCCTCCCCAGCCCTACTCCAGCCTAGGGATCAAAATCATCTGTCATAGGTACAGGCCTGTAAATAAATTCAATTTTTATTTTCAGGGAAAAAAATAAGACTAATTTATAAATGCAAAACGAACAGTAATTGGTCTTTGCCCTCCCAACCTCAAGAGTGAAGTCCAGGTCATCAGCCCTTTGGAATTCTTAGGTGGGTCTCCATCATGAGAGAGGATACTGTGGATTGCATGCCTCTGTTGTCCTGAGTCCAGAGGGAGGTGGACCCTCCTGAAAGGGAGGCTGGGGATATGAGGCTACAACTTTCAGAAAGTAGAAAACGGCAAGGCACTCAAGGCTTCTTGGGGGGTCACCAGAGAGAAGCTCCTGCTGCATTCCAAACCAGCCCACCACTCCACCTACTCCCACTCCCTGGTGAATAGGCCAATGGAGGAAACCAAGGACTGAGGGAATAAAGCTCCCCTAGGCCAAGAACCCAGGAAATCATCTTTCTTCCACCCTAGGACCAGGAACATTATAGATAGTCTGATGAGCTGAGGAGCCAGAAGTTAGGGTGATGATAGTGAAAGGAAGGGACTATGAAGCCAGCTGATGCAGTGGCTAACTGGGTGTGCAGAGGGTAGGGAGGCCAGGAGTCAAAGTGATTCAAAGGTATGGGCCACTGTAATGACAGATAGAGCCATAGGTAACAAAAGAAGTCAGGTAAGATTTGGCAAGGCAGGGGGTGGATAGATCTGATGTGGACATCACGCAAACTGATGCCTATCCAGATGACGAGGCTGGATGGTGAGATCACTGGACAATGGAGGGTAGGGCCTGGGGTGAGTCCTTGGCTCTGAGAAAGATGATGCATAGAAGAACAGAGGTTCTGCTCTATCAGAGGGCCAAGAGCTGGAAAATGTCAGAGTGAGGACTTGGAGGGAAAGGAAAGATTCTGGGCAGTGGAACAGAGAATATACAGAAAGGTAGAAGGGAAGCTGCTAAAGCACAGGAAATAAAGAAGCCAGACAGGCATGAGTTATGAGAGGCCACAACCAGAATTGCAAAAGGCATAGGAATAGAATGGTATTGGGGCCTAGGGTGGCTCCATGGCTCAACCTTCACATATGTCACCATTCCTCAGGACAAGTCTAGTCACCAGGTCACACCTTTCTTCTTTAGAGGGTGTGGCACAGACATGTAGCCACAGTTTCCTAGAGGGAAGGATCTGCATCTTTATGTTCCACTATTTACCACTCTGGATAGCCCCAGAATCAGATAAAGCATGTGTCACCGGATAAGAACCTAGTAGGGCTTGGCCATTGTGTACCAACAGTAGTGGGGGTGAGTAGGGGGGATGCCCCTATGAAGGGCACATCCAAGCCTACAGTGATGAGGTGAAGAGTGGTATGAGGCCAGCTTAATGCACTTCACACCTTTCCCAAGGCACTGCACATTCTACACTGGATTGGAAGCCCTCCCTTAGTCTCTGTTGGCCTCTTCAGTGAGTGAACAAGTCATAGCTGGGAGAAGTCAGACAACATCCCCAAAAGGCTGAGCAGACCCAGGGACAGTGTGTGTTCCAGTTCACGAGGACACAGGTGAAATCCTTGAAAGTTGCATGTGGTTTTGTTGGTTTGGTTTGGTTTGGTTTAAATACAGTCTCTATGTAGTCCATAGCCTCCAACCTTCTGTGATCCTCATGCCTCAGCTTCCCAAGTGCTGAGATTACAGGCATCTGCCACCAAGCTTGGCTCCTGAAAGTTTCATCAAACAGTCAGAGAAGACTATCCTGGATAAGACTTCCTCACTTGGAGGAACAAAACAGAAGAGAAGTCCTCAGAGGTGTCTGCTGTTGACACTCCCACAGCCCCACCTATCTACCCCTTCCCTGAGACTCCTGCACAAGGCATCCAACAGTGACAAGTCCTTCCCTGTTGGAAAGGGGGCTTACCTAGCCACCAACCCTGAACTTCTGAGCACCTGGTGTTCCCATGTGGCTCAGGGCACTGTCTGAGCCAGGCCACCTGCTGGTATCGGGGGAACCCAGCTCAGCCACATGGTAACCACTCTTTGCAGCATCAGAGTGACACCACTCATTCCTCCATCTCCAAGGAGGATGGGGATTCTGCAGAAGGGGAGACACAGAAGAGCTGGAAAGAACAGGAAGTGGGAGCTCATTGTGTACACCTCTTTCCAACCCTACAGGTTCGAGACCCTACTCAGTCTAGGTGAGGAACCAGAAATAAAGGGACACCCTTGTATTGAAAGGGCCAGATACCTAAGGGTCAGAGACTTGATCACCGATCCTGTGCTTCTCACAAAGCGCCAGAACAGCAAAGTGAAGGAATGAAGTGCCTTCCTATGGTATCTCCCGCACCCTGATTAGCCGGACTCTAGTCCTAGAGGACCCAGTCCTGTACTCAAGAAAGAAGTCTGAAAGAAGGAAGATTAAAAGGAAGGAGGCCTCTTCTGAGGTCTGGAATGAGGACTTAGACCGCTCTACATGACACTTCCTTTTAAGGCCATTGGTGTTCAGTCATGACCAAGTTGACATCCTGGAGTCATTTAGGGTTATAGATTCACCCTAGGCTATCCCCTCCCCCTCTTAGAGTGCAGCATGGGTGACAGGGACTTGTACCCTCATAATTCCCTCACCCTCTTGAGAGGCCTCTGGGAAGAAGGCAGGATGGGGGTGGGGGGAGTCCAGACCTTGCAAACACCAACTCCACGGGGCTATAAAGTGAAACTGTGATTTTAAATTTACTTCAGTGTATTTTGTACATGTGAGTGTGCTTCCTGTGGGAGAAGGGGGCTGTCTGTGCTTGCATGTAAATACAGCTATAAAATTCAGGAAGCTTCACACTAAATATTAAGCTCTTACTCTGCTTTTTGAATGAGCTGGCTTGAGGCATTCAGAGACTGGGCTTTCTTCAAGGATTCTTCTCAGTCGCCCTTCTTTCTTCAACATTCACAGGCCTAACATAACACTTTGTATAAGTTTGTTTGTTTGTTTTTTCATTAAGGTTTATTGGTACATTTTAAGTATACAATACAGTTACATTCATGGTTGGGATCTTGTACCTTTACATGATGTATCTTGGTTCTTATCTTTTCCCCATTTCCCTGCCCTCTCTTCACCCCCTATATATATTTTTTAATGGATGACCCCCAACATCACCTAGAACTCCATTAATATGTACTGTATATTTCAGCCAACCATGTTGGGACAAACATATAATCCTAGCTATTCAGAAGATCGAAGCAAGTTCAAACCCAGTGTAGGCAACTTGGCAAGACCTGGTCTCAAAAATAGAATGCAAAGGACCAGATATGTAGCTCCATGGTAGAACTCTTGCTTAGCACGAAGAAAGCCCTGGGTTCAATCCCCAATACCAAAAAAAAAGTATAACCTTAATGTTTCAAAGCATTAGTTAAAAATGAAATGAATGGCTCTGCAACAGGGGCCATAACTTCCTGTTTTTGCAATGCCCTCTGGTCACTGTTTAAGTACACAAGGTTCCCTAAAGGCTTCATATCTTCAACCTTTATATTAAAGAAAGAAACCTAAGATACAAGGGAGGTACCTCTCAACTCCAATTTGCATTTAGCTCAGGAATCGCTATGTCTTTCTACATACAATTCTTTATTCAGCCCTCACTTGAAAACATCATCACAATACTGCAATATACACAGCCCAGTCTCAGGCAGCCAGGGGTAACTTAAGGTGCTAACCTGCATACAGGAAGTGCTCAAGAAAAACTGACCAGAAGAGGAAAGACTCCTCTCGGAGGTGTGCCTCTGAGTCAATGCCACTCAACGTGTGTGGCAGCAGAACAGAGATAGGGGTCTTGAGGAAGACACTGGTCAGGATGACAATGACTTAAAGGGGAGGGTTGGTCGCTGAGGGCCTCAGGGAGGGTGCTGCTAAGGGCAGGAAGGGATCTGAGGCCTGCCCATCCCTACTGGATATCTCCTTGATTGCCCATTCTTCTGTGTAATTCTATAAGCTCAATTACTAGGATGTTTTGGAAGGAAAATAACTGTTCTTAATTTAGTGGCAGGAAGGCCTGAAAGAGGTCAGAGATAATCCAACCTCCCTTGTTTAATCTCACCACAAGTCATCCCTGTCATCCCCCAACTTCTGAGAAGGTGCCTGACTCTTTCAACCACACCCCACTTCTCCTCCAGGCATTGTTGCAAATCACTGGGCATGGGTCATCTTTTCAAGTACCCAAGGTTTTCTTTTATTCTAAAACAAAAGTAAGACAGGGAAAGTAATGATTTCAAAACAAACAAATAAATTGGTTTTATGTCCTCTGCCAGGATCCCTGTTGAGGAAACCGCCTCCCAACCAACTCCTAACCCCCAAGGGGATAGACTGGTGGCTCCCCTCTCACCCTTCACCACCTACACAGTGATTGTAAAGGACAGGGGCCCCTACGTTGCCCAGGCCATTTCTATGTTGTGGGAAGACAAACAGTAGCCAAGATCAACGCATACCCTCAGGAGGAAGACAAGGGGCAAATGAGGGATGGGCTATGCATCCTCCCACACGCTCCCAGCCACCCCAGGTGTGTAGATTCCTCATGGTTGGCCATGCTGCTCAGAGCCTTGAGCAGCTGCCTAGGTCAACTGGGCATCAGTGAGTGCTGCTGAGTCCCTTTTCCTCAGCAGAATTCCTTGGCTCTTTCCTTCTCACTTC